TATGTCAGGGGACGGATTGAAGGGTTTGTGAAAGAAGACGTCCGGGGGCTGAGTCTGACCTTCGGTCTCACTGCTGCTTTCTGATCTCGGCTTGGCCCCACGTGGAGCACCCTGTTGTGTAGCCGTCCGGCTGCCCCCTCCTGAGTTGGACGGAGGACGCCCTCTGTGTTAGAATAGGCAATGAGTAGGGATGACAGACGCCTTTGAAAACTGGGAAGATGAAACAGTTCCCGGGGAAGGCTGTCACCTCACTGAGTCTTTCCTCGGCCCCGAGATTTCTCTGACACGGAATGACACGTGAGGGGAGCTGGGACAGTCCAGTGGGAAGATCGTCGCTTGCCTGGCTTTCAGCTGATGCTCTGTCCCCGACTTGAGCTCCTCCTTGTGTCACTAACATACTTGTCATTCAGAAGAATGCTTGGAAACACTCGGCTTTTATTACAGATGACATGAGTGTGTGGGGTGTGCCCTTGTTTTTGCTGTTATTTCATCTGAAGTAACGTGGGTATTATTGCTGTATTTTCAGTATCATCTAGCAGACAAAATCAGAATTGACACTTTAAAAAATCCTAGCTTTAGTTTTACCACTGGAGCCAAGATATTGATTAGAGCAATTGATTCAAATTAATATATCTTCATTACAGGCCAGTCATCTCTGCCCTGAACAGCTGTCCCTGGTCCTGGCGTGTTATGACCAGTCTGTGCCACATGTTCATGTTCTGTCCTCAGGGCGGGGGCAGGGGCTGGGGGGATGGGCGGTGTTTCCCCACCACATTAGCATATTTCACTTCCCGTTTCACTCGCCACCTTCTACGGGTGGATGGCTGACGCAGGTTCCAGCCGATGACATCGAGAATGCCCCACTACAGTTCCCTGGTGAGGAACACGGCCCTGCCTTCCCTGTCGGCTGTGAAGGACCGAGGTAGCCCTGGCCAGCATCTTACTTTGAGGTGTGCCTGGCTGCTGTCCCTTGGGGAGGGCACAGAGGATTTAAATAGCATCTTCATGTAAGATGCCAGGAGCCCCAAATCCACACAGGCCTCTAACCATGTTATTTCAGATGCTGAGTCCTGAGCTGCCAAGTCCCCACACCACCCCCCGAGATGAAAATTAGAGCAGCAGATGGGCTCTCCCGAGGAGAAGCCACACAACCCACCCCCTGCCTCTGAAAACAACCCTGGCTGTTTATTGTGAGATGCAGTTGTCATGGTGACGAGTGATTGGGGGGAGTTAGAGAAAATGCAGATGTCAAGCCTGTAGATGATTTGGGGAGAAGTTGCCATCCTAAATGGACCTGAGACCTTTCGTTGTCCATGGTCACTACATACTGTGGCCCCACCCGGGGTGCCCAATGGACTGGCATGGGGGTGCTGACATCGGCCTAGCTGAGTCACAGGCCCTGGCTGGTCAAGCCCTAACCCCATGGGCTGCGTCCCCCAGAGGGGACACCTCTTCGATTTGCCAAAGGCACCCAGCACAAGGCGAGCAGCAGGCCTGGTGCTGCCTTTTCCCATGGTATATCTGGCGCCCTGGTGAGAGTCTGTTGCCCAGTATCTATGGTCCTCTCTCTGCCAGAAAAATTAAATTCCACCCCAAGCTGTAACATTCGTAGAAGAGGTGTTATCTTAGTCCATTCGGGCTGCTATAACAAAAATACCATAGACTTATAAACAACAGAAATTTATTTCTCACAGTTCTGCAGGCTAGAAGCCCAAGATCAAGGCGCTGGTAGATCCAGTTCCTGGTTCCTGGTTCCTAGATGGCCATCTTTTCTTCATGTCCTCACGTGGCAGAAGCAGGGAGGGAGCTCTCTGGGGTCTCTTTTATGAGGGGGGTAATCCCATTCATGAGGGCTCCACTGTTAGGACCTCATCTAATCCTGATTACATGCCAAAGGCCCCATCTCCTGTTACCATCACCTTGGGGGTTAAGTTTCAACATATGAATTTTGGGAGGGACACACCGTCAGTCTATGGCAGGTATGGTTGACCCGTTTTCATTTGTTGGTTGGTTGGTTTGCTTCTTTGGGGTTTTTGGAGATTGCTAGTGCCCGTCCAGCTCCTAGTAAGGCAGTGCAGGCCTTCAGGAAATGAAGTCTGTGAACTCAGCCGAGGGAAGGTCACCAGGTTAGATTGATGTACTCTGAGTGGACCTTGAAATAGTCAAGGTCTGTATTGTCTGGGAGGATGTCCCGAATTAGAGTTTTATGTGGGGCAGATGGAAATAGCATTTGAGGTGAGATCCCATGTTGCACCCTTTGGGAGATTTTGCATGAGGTACCTCGGCCATAGCGGGACATGCAGAGCCAGTGGGGCAGAGGGAGGACTTAGCTAGGAGTTTGGGAACAGATCTGGCTCCAGTGGGACCCATGTAGGAGTGGGACCCATACAGGAATGGTCCCCAGGCCAGTCTCAGCCCTGCAGGAAGGGGCACTGTCAGCTGTGCTTGGTCAGCTTGGGGTCCTCTTGGGTAGAGCCCCCGGGTGGATCAGAGCCCTCTCGTCTGGGGAAGGATGGGTTCAGCTCCTGGGAAGGAAGGCTGCAAAGGATGGAGGAGAAAGCCAGCAGTCCTAGACAAGCTGGATCTCCAGAGCCCCACCCTGAGACATAGGAGGACAGTAGGGTGAGATCAGGGCCCCCCTGCATGGTCTGAGAGCTCACGGGGCTCAGAGTGGGATAGTCCTCGGCTTCCAGCAAAGGAAGTGGGGACGAACCAGACATCTGACCCACCTAGGCTCCGGCTGTGCCCCTGTACTCCCTCCACTCCAGGAAGGCCTCATTTCTTTCTGCAGCTTAAGCTCTGATTTCTCTCAGGAGTGGCGATGCCTTCCTTTCTTCCTCTGTGTACAAATCTTCCCCATCCTTAAAGCCCAGCCCCACTTTTCCACCTCCCATCTGAGCCATCCCCTTTCAGCCCCGTGGCCTCTGAAACCCAGTGGTGTTTGTAGTCACAGAGGGAATACAGCTAGGAGTCCATGTTCTGCTTGGTGCGTGGCACTCCTGTTCCCCTCAGTGCCAGGAGGGTGGGCCCAGGTCTGCTAATTTTTCTCTAATCCCCCCAGAGAGACTGAGTGACAGTCCAGAACAGGGAAGAGGACTGGCAGCAACACCTTGCCATGCCACCGACGCCTGTGGGAACCTGGCTGTTAGCGCCAATGCCTGGAACCTCGGTCCTCTCAGCTGTAAAGCAGGAGTGGGACTAGCCATCCTGTACAGGAAAGGGTGTTGTAAAATAATATAACGTTTATTTATAAAAAAGGAAACATACTGTAAATTAATATATATTTATTTTTATAATATAAATATCAACTTATTTATTTATAAATGTAATTTATCAATATTGTTGACATCATCATTGTATTGTTACTGCTTGATAACTTACTTCCAGAAGGTTCTGGAATTTGACTTAACATGCTGGTTTACCAGAACCCCCTTTGGGATTTGGACAGTGATTTCAGTGCTGTGGATCTGGCTTCTCTCTTCTGGATGTTACAAGGCAATAAATAGAGAAAATATACCTAAACTTTAAATTTTGTTAAGTGGAGTGAAAGAATTTTGGTTTCATGTCTTCTTTAAGAGAAGACTTATGATGTGTCTTTGGGGCATTTTATTTTTTCTAATAGTAGATTAACTGATTTGTGTTTATTCTCAACTAAGAATTTATGTATTTAATAAATATGATTTTAATCTTCGGACACCGTTGGTGGGAATGTAAAATGGTGCAGCTGCTGTGGAACAGAATATAATGGTTCCTCAAAAATTTAAAAATAAAATTATCATATGATCCAGCAATTCTACTTCTGGTTATATACCCAAAGAATTGAAAGCAGAGTCTCTAAGAGATATTTGTACACCCATGTTCATAGCAGCATGATTGACAATAGCCAAAAGGAGGAAGGAACCCAAGTGTCCGTTGACAAATGAATGGATAAACAAAATGTGGTCTAAACATACAATGGAATATTATTCAGCTGTAAAAAGCAAGGAAATTTTTATGCATGCTACAGCATGGATGAACCTTGAGGGCACTATGCTAAATGAAATAAGCCAGTCTCACACACACACACACACACACATACACACACACACACACACAAATCCTGAATGATTCCACTTATATGACATACCTAGAGTAGTTAAATTGATAAAGATAGAAAGTAGAATGGTGGTTGCCAGGGGCTAGGGGGAGGAGAGAATAGAGGGTTACTGTTTAATGCATACAAAGTTTTAGTTTTGCGAGATGAAATATGTTCTGGAGATGGATGGTCGGATGGTTGCATGACACTGTGAATGTACTTAATGCCATTGAACTATACACATAAAAATGGTTAAGATGGCAGATTTTATGTTATATGTGTTTTACCACAATTAAAAAGTAATAAATAATAAAGTTAGAAAATATGATTCAAATAACTTTTAGAAGTATAAAAAGTACACGTTAGAGGCCGGCCCGGTGGCGCAAGCGGTTAAGTGCGCGCGCTCCGCTGCGGTGGCCCGGGGTTCGCTGGTTCGGATCCCGGGCGCGCACCGACGCACTGCTTAGCAAGCCATGCTGTGGCGGCGTCC